CAACAGAGGAGACAGGATATTTATATATGCACGTATCATTTGGCTGCTTTCCAACTGAAACCACACAGAAATATAACAGGAAGAAATATTTGCTATTAAAAAGTACTGCAGCTCTCTCTACATGACATAAGGATGGAGAGGAGGTACAGAAAGGGTTGTTTTGCTTGAGGACACAGTTTAGATATTCTTTCACATTGTGAAAGAAGAGCCTCTTGAGCTAACCTTGAATGACGCTGTAGAGACCAAGGCAACTAAATTTCTCTGCACGATACAGTAAATTCCCAGTAAGGGTAACTACAGACAGAGAGAAGAGGAGCTAGGAGGTCATGTTGCAGGGGCAGGATATGTTTGTGCCTAACATATTTCTATGAGGATTTTCCCAGGAGACTCTGGCTCAAGAAGTCTGCTTCTCCCTGATCTGCTGTCCCAGAGCAGAAAAAAAAATTAGTCATTCAAAAATGAAACTAAATGATCACCCACAAACCTGTTACTGAAGGAGCTCCAGTAATGTAACAGATGTGGCCTTAACAGTCAGAGGGGAAGGAAAAAAAATCAAAAGAAAGTATGAAAGAGGACCAAAAATCAGAGACTACTAGGCATCTATCCAAGTTAAAACTCTACAGAGGAAAAGGCAACTTTATAGAACAGTTAATCATTGGCTTGCTCCCTCCTCTAGAGCAATGCTCATTCACAGATGTTCATGATCAACTATAAGAAGTTTGGGTCCCTTTCGACAATGCTCTCATGGTTCTGCAAATGTTAGAAGGCATACGGCTGGTAAGGCTTTTTCACTTATGTTTTTCCAAGACTGGTAAACTGTAACATAGTAACAAGAAACCAGGTTAGTCTGGTCAAATAAAAAGTAGCAAAGAATACCCCACCAGGCCACCCAAACTGTTAGGAGAACGGTCACTGAGGTCTTAAGGACTGAGGACAGGGGCCGTGGCGGTGGGGGGTGGTGTCTCGAAGATACAGCACAAACAATCGTGATGCTAGAACTGACTCACCAGACAAAAGAAATTGCATGGGCAAAGAAAGGATCAAAGAAAGATACTGGGATTCAGAAGAGAATGGTTTCTAGAATCCAACTAGAAATTCAGAACCATTCTTTATTTTATGAATTTGCCACAATGATTCCTGCAGGAATTTTCCCCATAAAAGATGATGGAGGAGAACACCCATGGTAATCCTCACATCACACGACTCATGTCTTTTTTAAAGATAGTTGTATTTCTCAAGGAGCTTGTATCCTTCTCTTGATCCTGCCAAGCCAAGCTGAGTGCCGAGAGCCTCCCTTTTGCTTTCCCTAGGGCAGTGATAAATGTTCAAGTTTATTGTTTCTCCCCGGCCTGCAGTGTTAGGCCAGTTTTCTGCATCTACCAAACCAGCTGCAAAGCTTCAGGGTGCCAGCCGCAGGGTGGGGGGACGCAGAGGAGGCATGCAGAGTGCTGGGGGTGCCTGTGGGCCAGCTGTGGAAAGCCGGACATGGGGCATCACCAGCAGCTTGTGAGCAGGCTTTCTGATGGAGTCCACGAGGTAGTGAGTAGAACCCGTGCCCCTCTGATGCCCTCTAAAGCACTACCTGTTGCTCTCCCCGGGGCTCTTCCACCCCCCCGGTGGACAGCTCGTGACTCAGTACTCTGGATGGAGTGAGGAAGAAGTGGGTCTTCTTGGCCGTGACCCGCACACCTGGGGAAGTGAGGCACTCGTCCTCAGGCTCTCGCTTTCCCCACAGAATAAATCACAGGCCAGGAAAGTCTTTCTTGACACGGAGCTGGGCCACCTTGGAGGAGCGGTGACATGGGTGAAGTGAACCTGTCCTGCTTGGACTCTTCAACGCCTCTGATTTCAGATTTTTTTCCTCCGGTGGGGTGCTGGAACGTCTCCACGGGATTCCTGAGCTTCCACAAAGGCTCTCTCATCTGTGGGTAATTCTCTAAATTGGTGTTCTCTGGACGGACGACAGTGAAAAACTCATTCCTTAACGATAATGATATCATCCCCCGAAGTCATGGTTCCCTCTTCCTCCTCCAGCCCCTCAGCTGAGATTCAGGATTTGGTAGGGAGATCCAAACCTTCATTTCTGAAGCCTGAGGAGTCTTATCTTTATTGTGTCGTTGTAGTCTTTTATTAACCTCTACAAAGAGGAAAACCAAGTTAAATAACGTATCCAAGGTCATTCAGCTAGCAAATGTGGTACCGTGAAGCCAGCTAGTCTGACTCCGGAGACTACGTATGCTCTTAATCACCGCTCCTTAGCAATCTTGGGAAATAGAAGTGGGAACCAGAGTAATGGAGGTGGCAGCAAAACTGTTCGCGGCTATCAAGGTTCTTTGGCGCCATCTGCTGTTGGCCTAGGGTTGGTAATAGCAAATGGTTTGGATTTCCTAAATTTGTTCCTTCTCCCTCTTACTAGACTATTTGCATACCATGGTTTCTTCTGCTGGATCATTTATCCGAACAAAGAGATCGAGATTAATTGGGCCTCACTTAAACTAAGACGAATCGGTGCCTTGAACTGGTTAAACAGAGGACTGAAAGGCAGAGGACGATGACTCCGTAAGTTTTGGAGCCTGTTTCACTGGTGCTTGCCTTTAACATGGTCCAAACAACTTAGAACAACCTTGGCTTTGAGAATCATGAGAGGGTAAGATAACTTCAAAAACGTAACAGTAGTAGTAGTAGTTTCTGCTTCATAGCAGCAGCTGCCAGATGTTGTTAGTGGAGTCAGCACACGAATTTTTTGAGCTGATAAAGCCTATGTATTCAAACTTAGAGGAAAAGTTGTTTAAGCCCTGTCCTCTTGGAATTTTTCAAAATAACTTTTTAAAGTATTGTTGAGTTAGATATTAACCCAACTTGAGACAGTTTCTTTGTGACCTTTGAAACTAAGCCATTCAGCAGGGATCAGAGGATGAGTTCACAGATTGTTAGAAAACTTTGACTAGAGTAGAACTTAGAGGAGAAGCAGCGTGTGGCCCCATGTGGCAGCCCTGCCTCAAAACAAGACCCACTGCTAGAAATCCTGGGACACGTTGTGTCAGTATTTTATCCTGAAACGGTGAGTGTGTTTTATCCTGAAATTGTGGATGGGTTCTACTTTTTTCTTTAAAATGCAGGCTGAAATGTAATGTCTATTGTGACCAAACTTTAATGATTTTCATCTATTTTTTGAACAAGTGAGGATTTGTTTTCCTATATGAAAGCCTAAGAACATTGAAACACGGTGAGTAGAGAACCCAAGACAATTTCAGGATCCCAAGAGAACTCCAGCCTTTTGGATCAGAAGCAGTGTTTGCTAAGGCTGTGTATTTCTGGAGAAAGGAAATAGGTAGATTGACTAAAACCCAGTTTCCTAAAGGAAACTTTGATCTAGATTAGTTTTGCCCATCTATAGAATATTCTTAAAGACCAGAAAGTGTTTCAATTGTAATAGATTCATATTTTAGTTGATAAAAGAAAAACTATTAAGAATTCTAAATAAATCCTGGAAGGAATCTTAAATGCTATGGTAGATCACTTTAATAATGGTCATCAAATAAATACTTCCTGTATCCACACCTCTTCATGTTGTATCTTCTATTCACATTGAGAAATGAAGTCCATTTTTTCACACCCTTATTCTATGTTGGACTTGTAAGTCTGTAAAATAAATAATTTGCCTTGACCAATAAAAGGTGGCAAAAGTGAGATTGGGTGAGTTCCAGAGACTTGGTCTTAAGAGGCCTTGTAATTCCTGCCCTTTCCCTTTTGACACTCTGGGGCCTCCACGCTGTGAAGAAGCCCAGTCTAGCCTGCTAGAGCATAGGAGACCACCTGAAGGAGAAATGAGAGGGCCTAGCCACCAGCCAGACATGCTAGTGAGACCATCTTGGAACACTGCTGCCCTAGGTGGGCCATGCAATGACTGCTGGCAGCCTTATGAGTAACCCCAGGTGAATACAGCAGAGGAACCACTGAACTTGAACCTACACCCCACAGAATCATGAAAAATAATTAAGCACTGTTTTTTTAAGCCACTAAGCTTTGGAGTGGGGGGTTTTATGTTTTGTTTTGCAGCAAGAGATAACTAATACATCTACCTGCCAAAAAATGTAAGTATCAAACCAAACTCTGACTTCTTTAAGTACACTCTTTTAGAAAAACATTTCTCATTGGAAAATAAAAGTGCAATCTTCACCATTCTAATTTGTCCAAATATATTAAATATATTAATAGCCTCCATGAACTACTAATAGTTCATAGAACGAATGTTACAATGATGATTTTCTACTTGGAAAAGGGTTTTCCAAATTAAACACTGAATTGCTTTGAATTATAAATCTCTTGGTTAAAAGCAACTACCTTGACAAGAATTAAATACATCTGATAAAGTATGTATAAACTAATAAAAATTTAAAATTCTTGTTTTCTAATAAAAAATAATTTAAGTCCTCTAAAAGTTTTTTTCTTTTTAATTACTTTAATGACCTCAGGGTCCCTGCCATGCTACCAGGAAAAGTACAAAAAAAAAAAAAAAATGCAGGTGGACAATAAGCTAATGATTTGTAATCATGAAAAGACTGAAGAGAAAATAAAAATGAATACAAAGGATTCCAGGTCTAAATTTCTTTTGACTATATTGTGACAAATTCAAAGATATTTTAAAATATTTTTGCACTAAGATCTTAAAATCAAAAGTAGAAGTCATGGTAAAAATGAGAATTAAATTTTAATCCAATTTCACTTGGATCAAAATAAATTGATATGTGAAATTTGGACATAGAAGATTTCTATGTATGTTCTGATTTTTCCCACAGTGTAAAATAAAAATGCAAACGTTGTAGCTTACATAAGACTTTGAATTTTTCTAAAAGGCTAGATTAAATGAAATCTTCTAAATTATTTACACTTGGCTTAAATTTACTACCTTTGCCATTATTCAAGTGCATATAAATGTTTGTATGAGTGTTTAAATAATTTTATTTAAATAATTTAATTGTCTTTATAAAATGGTTCCCTTAACCATAGTCACTAGTACAAATTACATAGACTACAAAGTTACCCCACATACACAATCTGAGCAAAATTTTAAGATGCCACATTTCTCTGATAAATTTGGATTACCAGGAGTAATTGTACCCTCAATAAACATTGGCTGAATTTAATTTGGGTTCAAAGAGGCACCTGACGTTGACCATGCAAAAACGAGGCATTTGACTCAGACACCTTCATGCCACCCAACACAGGCAAAACGGACTGGAGACTTCACTTAAACCAGGAATTACCTAAGCTTTAAAGCCATTCACTCAGCCACTTTCTTTCTTCTTGTATCTCCACATTGTAGCCATTGCTGCCTCAGCCTGCCCAGCCCACTCCCAAGCCTGGTGCTTCGCACTGTCCCCTGCTCAGGGCCCAGGACTCAGCTGCCTGGAGGTCACCCAGCTGGTGGCAACACGATGCCGCCCTCCCTCCTATTTTGTTCTTTCCTATGAAAGTATTACACATGCACTAACAAAAAATTGGAAATTACAGAGTATGACAAAATGGGGAAAATCACTCATAACCTTCACACTTTTAGCATATTGGGTTATTTCCTCATTCTCTTTTCAATACATTTTTTCTTGAGATAACCTGTGGTTTGTTAACCTTTTCTCATTATATTATTAGTATTTACTGTCCTTGGAAAATGTATTATAAATAGCTAAGTAATACTTCACTGCCTGGAAATGTCCTAAACCCATTCTCTTTGAGACATTTTTTTTTTAAAAATTCTAATGTGGCCATGAACATTTTTCTCAAAATACAAATCTCTGTTTTTATCTTTAAAATTTTCCCCAGGATAGTGACCCATGTTGATATGGCTCTTGATACAGTCCTGAGAAAAAACACAAATGAAAACCTTTAGAAGCTCTAAGCATTAAAAAACTACAAAAAGTCTCTAGTGTAATTCACAATAAAATACCAAACAATGACATAGCACCCTTGTATTTTTAGAGACATACACAAGTGTAAAAAATGCATGACTGTTAAACATCTGCTAAACCAGGGGTGTCCAACCTTTCGGCATCTGCTCCACACTGGAAGAAGAGTTGTTTTGGGCAACACATTAAATACACTGCCACATGTAATCACAAAAAAAATTTCAAAATGTTTTAAGTAAATTTACAATTTTGTGTTGGGCCGCATTCGTAGCCATCCTGAGTTGCACGTGGCCCACAGGCCACAGGTTGGACACCCCTGGCAGCTAAACCGTAAGCTCCATGAACACAGAGACCCCGTCCACTTTATTCATAGTACCCAGCATGTATTAGGTGCTGAATAATTTAGGCAGGTGTATAATCAATATGCCAATGAGAATTTGAAAGGGAAATGGGAAAAGAGGAAACTGTTGAACACCATCCTCCTAACAACCCACCTCCCACCAACCCCAACTTCACGCCTGGCAGCACAACTCAGACCCACGTCAGTTCCATTTATTCTTTATACAAATATTTTACAGTTTTATTTTAAAATCATTTACACATATTCATACAAAGAAAAATAAATTTCAGGATGGAACCTTGGGACCATGGTAGTTAAAAAAAAAAATCTCTCTGATCATTAGCTACTGAAGACAAGGCAAGATGCTCAGCAGTCATTTCTGGGGCTGGTGTAGCTTCCCACGCAGGGCACAGTTGAGAAGAATCCAAGCTCCGGATTCCCTGGGTACGATGACCAAGCTGCTCCCTCTTCGTCCCTCAATCTTCACCTTGCAGAGGTACTAATAGGGGAAGGGAATTTTTTTGACACTCTCCCCTAGAAACATTTCAAGTACAGCAATGACTTAAGGTACCACTGAACTCCCTCTTTGCTAGGAATTTGGCAAGATGGCAATTTCCGAACCAACTTTCTGGAAGAGCTACTAGCTCAATTCCTACTCACCAGTCTAAGAGGGAGATCTGCTGCACTCACCACATCCCTCATCCCACAGCTCTGTCCTCCCACTAAAGGCCCCAGAACAGAGCCCTGGACCTGATTCCATCTGGCCCGTGCGAGGCTAATTCCACCAATGAGTCTTCCTCCTAGCCCACTCCCAAGCACTGTGTAGCAACTGACCCCAGCAGCTCGTGAGGACCCCTAGATAATGGTGCCAGCGCTGCTGGATGCAGCATCATACCCGGGGGAATCCAGAGCGACAGCCAGGAGAGGCCCCAGAGTGGCAGAGCTATGAACCCCCTACCACAACTCAGCTCTGCTGAGACAAATCAACATTTAAATCAAACAGGCCAACTCCTGACACCCAGCCCCAGATCTAGTCAGCACAGAGGTGCACGCTAGAGGATGCTCCTACACAACTGCCCAAGGAAGCTGTACTATTATCAATCCCCAGTTAAACGAGGGGAAAGAACGGACATTACGAATGTGGTAGACCCTATGAGAAATGGCAGCTGATGAGAACAGTTACCCTACATCTCCGGGTCCTACCCAAAAAGCAGCACCAAGAAAGGGCATGATGAGCAGAGAGAGCTGTAGCTGGATGTGCAGCCCCTGAATTACCAAGGGACTCAGAGATAACACAGCTCATTTTCCTACAATTATGTAGGAACTAGAGCAAAGACTACCCACCCCTACATTGAAGCCACTCGTGAGAGGCCATACCGCTTGTGATCATCAGCCCGCCCCCTTGGTAGGCCCATTTGGGGAGAGGGAGTCACATCCAGAGCGGGGACCCCTCCAGCCAGACACTCACAGGGCAGCCCATCCCACTGTCACTGCGACAGGCCAAACATAGTTAAGAGGGTGGACAGATCCCGGGCATCAGCTGCCCCATAAGCATCACTCTGGCCTAACATGGACAATGCCAAACGCAGGGTGCTCCAGATGTTTTCTGACATGGCGCCTCCTTCGCCCCGAGGGCCCCGGCTTTTCCTCTGCATGTTCAAGGCCTCCAAAAAGTGTTCCACAGCCTCCCTGTGGGAACAGGAATGAGAGCAGGTGAGCAGAAGACCAAAGAAGGAAGTAGGTCAGCTGATATGGGGAGAAAGCAAGCTGGGGCTGGTTAGTCAAAAAGCAAGAGCAGAGAGTGAAGAGCTAGGGCCAAAGGCAGGGAGAAAGAGATTCATCCATTCATTCTTTCTTTCATTCATTCATTCATCCCTCAGCAGACACTCTCACCGGTGAGCCCCGAGGTTGATGCAGCTGATGCCCAGGTTATAGCGCGACCGTATGTAGCCAGGCTGTAGCTCGAGGGCCCGACGGTACGCAGCTACTGCTTCTTCACTCTGGTTTCCATTGGCCAGGGTGGCCCCTAGTTTATTCCACAGCAAATAGTCCTGAGACAGGGAAGGAGAAGGTTAGGGACATGAACCAGGCTCAGATCAAATTCTGCCCATTCCTCCCTGGTTCACCAATCTGTTTAGCTAATATATGTTACGATCCCACTGCTTTCTCCTCAACAGTTCATTGTGTGGCTCAGTGTAACCACTCTCACCAAACAGACTCCCTTAAGTTCAGAGGACCCGATACTCCCCCACCTCTTTGCCCAATCCTCCCAAGGTAACCAGTACATGGAACATTGGAATTAAATATCCCATGACTCCAAAAGCCCCAACAAATGACTCTTCCACAGGGTACAGAGTCATCTCCCATTCCACTCCTCCCCTGAGGCTCACATTGGGACGAACGCTGAGGGCAGCTGTGAAACAGTCGACCGCCTTGTCATACTCCCCACTCAGGTTGAAAAGGACCCCCAACCCACACTGCACATCAGGGTCAATGGACGAAGGGTCCAGGCGCACGGCTGCCAGGAAGAGCTCTTTCACTTCAAGAAACAGGGAGCTGGAAAAGAAAGGGAAAAATGCAAAGAAATAGGTGGATGGGTATCTCTGTATTCCTACCCCTCCAACATAATTCCTTTATTAGTCAATCATATCCCAAAAGTTTATCAATCTATCATCCACCGCCCTCCTCTACTCCCAAATCCTAATTAATAAACCTGTGTTTCCGTCTCCTCCCAGCAGACCTCCTTCAGGTAGACTCTGGGTCTCCCATCCCACTTGTAGAGCCTCAAGTCTCAATCTGTCCAAACTTCCAAAACCAAGGCTGTCCTCCTTATCGGGTTACCATTCTCACGCCAGGGACTCCTCACTCACTCAGACAACAGGGATCCCAGGATGCGCTTGCTGGGGCCCAGCCCTGTGCCACTGGCCCCTTCTTCCCCAGGCACCACCAGGTGGGCGTAGGCTGGTGTGTAGCGCAGCCAGTCTCGCAGGGTTTCACAGGCCTGTCGCTGCAGGGACTCGTTGGTGAAGCTGACAGCCAGCGCCATCAGCGCTGTCCGATTATCTGGCTTTAGCTCCAGGCACCTGTTTGGACAGAGATGGGGGGAGCGGGTACTGCAGTGAAACTGCCACCCATCAGCACCCTGGAGCCCAGCCAAGCTTCGGAAGGTGGTCACAATGGCCTCACCCGCCAACTCGCTCAGTTCAAGATAAAGAGAAATCCTCTACATCTAAGTTATTAGCAAAGTTACAGAACTGAGACAGGGGACATTTTGGCAGCCAAGGAACCAGCCATAGTCCCACGAATAAAATTTAAAGCTGCTGAAGGAATGGAACCAGTTATCTCTACTTCACTCAAAACCTTAGGGTTTTGATCATGAGAAACACTCTTGTTAGTGAGCAGAAAGGAGACAAGGATCTGGATCTGGGCTTTTATCATTCTAAAGGCTTTCTGGAGAGCCCTGGAACCTTCTCACCCCACCTTTCGGCGTACTCACTTCCGCAGCGCGCTGATGGCTAATAGTTCCTGTTCATTCTCTGCCTGGGTGGTACCCAGGTACTGCCAAGCCTAGAGAGAAGTCGACAGATTCCATCAGCCCTGCAATCACCTTCCCACCCTCCCTTTCTCTGGCTCCCCCGTCCACTCATCCTCTCACTCTCACTCTCACCCCCAACCCTAGGCCATCACCTAGGCCCTAATCCATCTGTACTGCTCTTTGGGGCCTTCCCCAAAACTGGAGGAAGCAGTCTCTAACTTGAAGTCAGAACAATGAGCTGCTCACTTCCATATGCTTAGGATCCTGCTGCACAGCTGCCTCAAAAAGCAGCACAGCGTTTGGCAGGTCTCCCTCCTGAAGTCGCTGCAACCCTTCCTCGAAAGGCTGGGGATGGTCACGCAGGGGGTTCTCGTCCTCAAACTGGTACCCCTGCAAGGAAGAGAAGCCAAGTGAGAACACATATGAGAAGCAGCCATCACAAAGCAGCAGGAACAGGACATGACAACGAAGACAGAGGTAGAGAAGGAGTGGAAGGCTTCCAAAAAGATATCTGAATAAATGCTGGCGAACTTTCCCTATTAATAAGGATATCATCTATGACTACAGTAAAATAATTCAGTTTTGTGCTCACACTCCTATCTCCTGTTCACAATACGGGAAACGTAGGCTAGTCTACAAACTCTGATGCTTTCTGGGAATAAGCTTATTATAGGAACTCGTTATAGACCTGGATTTCCACATCCTTGACTTCTCACCACTGAAACAGAACACATGTCTTCCCAGGACTGGCTTACAGTAACAAGATGAGCTCTCCTTAGCTACTCAAGGGCATTTCTTATTATCCTGCAACAGTGTGTTAACATATAAAGGAAAAGCAATTTGGAGTCAGAGACCTGCCATTCAAATGCAGCTCTCACCTAGCTCATGGAGTCACTGTGGGCAATAACGAAATAGCATGTGTTGAAGCACTTTGAAAATTTTAACCTATCCCCCAATTTCATTCTTAAAAGTTGTTAATATTAATCTGTATCTGAATACAGTAAATGAAGGCTAGATCCCAAAATCCGGAGAGCAAGAAATGCTTCAGGAAGACACTGTTCCCATCTAGCTGAGGATTTCTCATCTGAGGGAAGAGTCACAACACTCTGTGCAAAGTTTTGTCTACTGGCATTTCCCGTTGGATAGAGAGGTAGTAAGGTAAAACGGTGGTCACTAATAAACCATATGACTTGGGACAAGCAAATTAAATGTTCCTTTTTGGAAAGTAAATGGTTACCATCACAAAACAACATACCAGAATGGCAACAAGATGTAAAATACCAGGTATCTCCCTTCTAAATGTAGTTAAGGACAAGTTAGAATGAAAGTGTGCATAATAAACACTATTACTGTGAAACAGCTAAAGAATCAGAAACACTTAAATCTTACCAGAAAGTTCTAAGCCACTAACAGTCATCAGGTACAAATTATTTGTGACAAATAAGAATTAAATAATTACAATGGAGGTTTAGGAAACAAGACATACACAACACGGATTTGGGGTAAATGTATAAAAAGAATATTCATGTCAAAAATAGGTAATGTTCCTGAGACATCTCTGAACAACACAAAAACTTAGAAGGTAGAAAATGACCCTGCACCAGGCACAGCAAGCCTTTTCTGTGAAGAGCCAGATAATATCTTGTCACAACTACTCAACTCCACCACTGTAGTGAGAAAGCAGCCACAGATATTATTTAAATCATTAAGCATGGCTTATATAATTTTCACATCACAAAATATTACTTTTCATTGTTTTCAACCATTAAACATTTAACATTAAAACTATTAAAACCATTATCAGCTGACAGGCTGTATAAAACAGGCGGCAGGCCGCATCTACTCACGGGCCATAGTTCATTGACACTCACCTTAGAATATAAAAGTTCAACAAAATAAACCTTCTTGTATTCATCCTCAACTACCATCCACCATCAGTCCATGTCTTAAGCCACCCCGCAGGAGACAGTGATCACTGTCATCTATAACACAACTTCCTGATAAAAGTAATCCCCCCTCTTTGAGCTACTGAAAGCATCAAGTGAGAATATTCTCCAAAGCCTTATCAAAAAGCTTAAAATCCTAGTCATCAATTGGTATCATCCTCAGCGACAACACAAAAGGTCAGTGCCACCACGTTGTAACCATACGGTTCTCCAAGTATTTATTCTCTTGTTCATGCTATCTATCCTATTTGAGAGAGGATAGCATTTTGTCAAATGCTAATCAGAGAGAAATTTTTCAAAATTAGAATATTTGCATTAATTAAAAAAAAAAAAGAGTACTCTGGAGGTATCTTCTACACTATTACATCCTAAAAAATCTAATCCAAGCCAATCATTAGGTCTGATCCTTGTGTGTTCCATTCAGTGCGGCACTGGTGGTATAGTGGTGAGCAGAGCTGCCTTCCAAAAATCTCATAGGTTCACACTGCAAAAACCAGATGACTACTTAAGAGTGCGTCCCAGCACAGAAACGTCTCCTTTATGCTAACAGTATACAGTATCTGCTTGAGCTTGAGCTATAGGTGTTAAGTTGCCTTGAAAATTTAAAAGACCATCAATAAAAAATAACAATAATACATTCAGAGACCCATGAATTCATCTCATAATCAGCATCAGATCCACATTTGAAAAAAAAAAAAGTACTGATGACATATAACTCAGTCGTGGCGTAGAGCCCGATAAAACATGAACTGTTCATTGTTAGTGAGGAATAAAGTAAAGCATATTTTTTGTGGAACATTAATGCAAATATTTCTAATGCTAATTTTGCAATATCCCAAGGTACCAATGATATTAAATGGGGTTCAAGAATCTAAAATCATAACTATGTTTTTAGGTTTTTAATTTAAAAATTTCTTCCACCTAGCATTTTAGTAATATGTGAGTAAAAATGCTAACAGAAAATCCTGCTCGTATGAAACTAGTGCTATCTCTCTATTTATCAAAAGCATGCAAATTTTTATCTAAAGTTTTATAACTTCTCATTTATAAATCAATGGGGCCTATGCAACTTATCAAATTGTTAATAAAAATTAATGAAAGTAGTATCTCCAGGTATTTCCTAAAGTTCTTCCTCATCACGATGCAAGAGAAGGAACTCTTACTATGGTTAAAACACAGAGAGGGGTCTCAAAAAGTCACGTCTCTTTTCTGTTACGTTACTGGATAGCTCCGAGGAAATCAGACTGGGATATTATACAAAATCATATTTCTTTTAGCACTAAGTTTTTCATTGGCTTTTTAAAGTTACCCTTGCCTTTTTAAAGTTATCCTGAACTTTGTCTCTATCTCTGTACTGCTCCTCTACGTCAAGATCTACCCCCAGCACCCTGCCTTGCATCTCAGTCCCTGGTGCTAGCTCCTGAATCCCTTCCCAAACAGGTCTGAACTGGGACGAAGACATCACTACTCACCTCCCCAGTTCCTGCTTTGCCTTTCACAAAACCAAGCCATTCTCACTCTTCCAAATCATGCTTCAACTCAGCAGCTCAATTATCAACCACATCCACAAATGCTCTACAACCCACAATAAGTATTTTTTTCACAGTTAAACCCCCTGAAATAACATACACTTCTAAGTCAATAGCATACACTGTATGCAAAATTCAATCATCTTTCACCACTGCACTGACTGCTGGGAAATTTTCCTAATATTTATTTAATATAATTCTTTGAAAACACCCTAAATTGGGGCAAGTAGTTCTAATCTCAGAGAGATTAATATTTAAAATAAACTTGTGAGTTACAAAACTACATAGATATTAAGGTATGGAGGCACAGCGAAAGCCTACCACCCACCACCCCACACCAAAGGAGTTATCAACCTTCTCAAAGTGTTCTCAACCTCCAAAGCAGAGCTCCCTTGTTTGTGCTCATACCACATCATGGGCAAACCTGTATCGTAGGTCGAATGTCATTGTATTATTGTAACTTAACAAGGGCGGTCTGTTATTATTAACCTTCATACCCTAAGAATAAAGCACACTCTCAATTACCGGAAGACAGCAGGGGCAAGGGAATGTTTCAGCCTTCTTTTTTGTGGAAAGGGGCTTAAGAGAAGAATTGCTTAAAAGTGAGTACCCAAATTCAGGATTAGAAGAGAGACAAGACAAGGAAATCCTGCTATCAGAAAAGCCAGCCCTTACTTTGTCGAAGGACGCAGTCGTGAGGTCATCGTAGTCAGTAAGCCAGGGGTGAGCCTCAGCATCCCGTTTGGCCATCTCCTCCAACTCTGCCTGCAACTTGTCCCAGAAATCGACATCAGACTGTAAGGGAGGGAAGACAGATAGGAAAAGGGGATACATCATGACCACCCCACCCCACTGTCAGCTCTACCAGAATGACTCCCGATGGCAGTAGTTCTTAAATTTCAATGCGTTTAAGTGCATCTGAAGAGCTTTTTTTAAATGCAGATTCCTAGGTCCTACCCCCAGGTTGGCATTTTGGAGGTGCCCACCCCACCCCAAGCAATTACGACACAGACGATCCAGGAACACTGGGTTCATCATCTTTGAGGTTAACACACCCACGGTCTCCAACGGAGCCTTTTCTCTTGGGGTCTCAGCTCCTGCACTATGTGCTCTCACCTCAATAGCTGACTTGGCTCGTTCAAACTCCATATCGAGGGCAGATGTGTTTCCTGGTCTTGTGAACTGGTCAACCCAGGCATCTGAGGTGCCCTGTGACAAAGATGGATGGTCACGCTGCCGTCACCACCACCACCTTTCTTCCCACGAAACCCTGACTAAATACCCAGTGAACACCACCAACCTGGACACTCCTGAGAAAAACATTCTCAGAATCTCTTTCCCACCCACTCTGACCTGGATGCCTCCAAAACAAGCTGGCAATAAAATCCCTTCCCCATCTGGGACTTCTGAACACTGAACACAAGGCCAGGGCACCAGCTGGCTCTGAAGTGGGACTGGGAGGTGACAATGTCCTACCTGCTGCTGTATAAACTCTGCTGCCCACTGTTCTGCCTGAGCTCGGCCCGACCCTGCACCGGACTCCAGGGACACCTGCCCCTCGCCAATCTGCCGCACGAATTTCAGGAACTGGGGCACAGAGACACACATAGGCCACTCGGGAAAGAACTTCCAGGGGTGCACTCTCAACCATGCCCAAGAGGAGCCTGCACCTACCCCTCCCCCCTGACCACTCTGGCTGCAGGCAAGATATACTAAAGACCCTAAAAAATGTACAGAGCAAAAAAGAAAGGGATTTCTGGCTCTAGAGATTTGAGATGCTGCAAACAAGGTATGTTAAAGACCTTAAAAAACATACAGAACAAAAAAAGAAAGGGATTTCTGGCTGTAAAGATTTGAGATGGCACAGAGCAGAGAAAGGGTTAGTAGGCAAGGAAATGAAGAAAGAATGCTGGAAGGAAAAGGCAGGATCTGAAATCTCCATTCTCCCGATTGGAAGAAATGGACCTAAGATCTCATCTCCTTTTCTCCAAACTGAGCTGGGGTAAGAGAAGCAGGACCCTTGACTTCCAAGACCAGTTCTGCTAGGCAAAGCAGCAGTGGGGTGTGGCTCACCTCAGAGTTAGCCAATTTGGGGTCATCCACTTTGGCCACAAAGTCACTGGCAGTGTGTTGCAGATCCTCCTCTGGACGATAATCATCATACCTGGAACAGGTAAGGGCGAACTAACTGCACTCATCAGCCATTACCTTCCCCATGCTATTTCCCACCACCAGCCCATGGAAGTTCCCAGGGAGGGAAAGAGGCTGACCTCACTCCACTCTCTTGTTGAGGACCTACAAATTCCAAATTTACATTAAAGAAGAACACATGGGCAGGAGTGGTAAAGCACTAGGTACATCCTTTTATCTCTCCCTTTCCCAACCATATCTTTGCAAAGAGAAGGAACAGACAGACACCAAATTAAAAAGGGAACAGGGTACATAAGGTAAAGTTACAAAGATTTGGTTAGGGCAGTTAGGATTCTAAGGGATCCAAGTGGAAACCTTACAAAATGAGGGGGTTGCAAGTTGGTTTGGGAACGTGGATGGAGGGGTTTAGAGGAGGCTGAGAAAACTGTCCAATCCTCCTTCCACGGGGATATGTCCAGAAAGAGGTGGCTGCACTCACCAGCGATCAGTGGCAGCTGTTCCCTCTTGCTCTCCCAGCCACAGCTTCTCCTCTGACTGTTCCAGATATTCCTCAGCCCAGCGGGCAGGGGACACAGACAAAGGGTCTGCAAGGAGCAGAGAGTTGGGGAAATCACACAGGATTCAGTGAGCTGGCCCAGAAAAAGAATACTGACCTGACCAAGCCAAAGCAGACAAAATCCTATTTAATCCCTCCGATCCCTGGTCAAAAGAAAGTATTACTAAATTTTCAATATCCATTCCATTTCCCCCAAGGGGCCTGGAATGGATATTTACTGAGTTGAAACAGGAGGCCCAATAAAAAGGCTCAAGAAAGGAATACAGACCAAACAAACCCTTTTGCTTGAAGAGCCAGAAATCTCAATAAGAAAGAGCAGACACTAGGGCCTCCACCTCCCTTGAAGGTACACTGCTGGGAAGCAGCAAGTATCTAAGGGAAAACAGAAGAGTTCTGTTCCTTAACCAAATCTCTGGTCTGTCCTCCACCGACAGAGTTCACACCCTCCCAACGAAAGCGGCTTCATATTTCATCTTACTATACCTACCAAGAGAATCTGAGAAGCCGAACGCTGAGCTAGAGTTAAAGATACACAGCCACTCTTCCCACTGGATGATTGTTTTTTTTTCATTTTCTTAATTGAGATGTAAAATAAAATGAAAGTACATAAAGTGTGCCAAACTTAAGAAGACTGCTTTGTTAACTTCTCCATATGAATACACTCAAATCACCACCAGATGAAGGTACAGAATACCTACAGCTCCTTTAAAGGTTCCCTCATGCCCCCAGCCCCCAGGGATAAACACTGCTGTGACTCTAGTCACTTCAGACTAATTTTAAGGGCTGTTTTAAAGTCCAAATCTAGAAATTGTCTTAGTTCTAGTGACAAAGGGCACTGCTGCAATATCTGAATAAACATACCAGGACAGCAGATCAAATGAGGGTGCTGAACTGTTTGTTTCTCAATCCCCAGGACTTTGCCCTTTACTATTCTGGGGCCAGGCAAGGAAAAAAAGGGGGGGGGGGGCAAAGAAAAATTATTCAAAAGGGCCCTAAGGAATGAATAAACAAAGAGAAAACATGAGCCTATATTGTTCATTCCTTCTGCTCTGCATCCACGTATTTACAAGTCAGATACTAAGAAGGACATCCTGTCTTTGCAATTTGAAAATCTGTCATTGTTTTTAAATCTGAGAAGGAGATGTAGCCTCTTAGTATTAATGTTTAGCAGAACTTTATATTCATTTAACTGAGACTTTGCCTGAATAATTTCTACAAAGTAATCTGGATACCTGAGAAAGAAATGTCAAAATCTAAAAAAATAAATGATAAAGACACTCAGAATATACCTAATTATAAGTAATATATTACTAATATAATAAAAGATACAGTTGACAATTTTTTTGATATTGGACTCTGTCTCTTAATTTCTCAGACTCAACATTAATACCCAGATTTCCCTCACTAGCTCTTACAAGCAACATTTATTTTTCCTTTGCCCGAATTAGGCTGCTGGCTCAAAAGTAAAGACCTAATAAGGAGATGCTTAAGCACTTAGACTTTCTAATACCTCCCAGTTTCCCATTTGGTTGAAAAATAACCAGTCCCTCCTCCTTACTCTCCAGTCACTCCTTACTCTGAACTAGAGTCTTTTACAAAAGCAGGCTCCAGGCACAAGTGCCCCTCTCAAAAACAAGAAGCAACAGGGAAAAATACAAAGCACCTGGACTTTAAAGCAGACATGAGATAGATTAAAAGAAAATCCCAGAGGTGAGAAAAGACATCCTCAAATTTCTGTAACTTGATATTTGGCCATATTAGCCACAAGACTTAGAATCTTCTGGCATTGGGAACAAAGGAGTCAAAATAAAATTACCAAAAGACTACCACTTGGCTGTTACAATATTTTTTGAGAAATTCTTACAGAAAATCATACCCATTTGGATACCTCTGAGACTGATGCAACTGTGGCCTACAGAGGTGAAGGGACCATCCCTGGTCACATAGATTAGTAGAGTGAAAACCAACAACCTACATACCAAATACCCAATTCAGAATGTTCACCTCATAGAGTTTCTCATTGTGTGTTCATTCCATCCAGGTCCATCTACCCCAAGTCTAAAACTCAGAACTTCCGACCCTTACCCACCGAAGTGTCCACATGTGCTAAACAGCACAGTGGTAAAGAATGCGGGTTCCACAGTCAGCCTATCTGCACTCAGATCCCCATACCCACAACTTATTCGCTATATATCTTCAGACAAATTATTTAACCCTCCAAATTTCCATTTCCTTACCTATAAAACAGAGATATTAGTAGCTACCTCACAGAAATTGCAATGAAGACCAAATGAGGTAAAGCATATATAAAACACAAAGCAACAAATATTAGCTAGTGCTATCCTAGCTGCCCACCCATGGCAACCTACACCAAAAGTAGAAAACATTACAGTGAAATTGTTATTCCTTTCATTCCGTGGCCTCTTCCCCTGCCATCCAGGGGAGATCTGTGGCAATCATCTCTTGTTACTGCTTTTCCTATGAAAGCACAGGTTTGTCTCTCATGATGATCACTGAACCTCGCACCCCATGTTAGCTGAGGCTGTCTAAACTGGAAAGTCCTTCAAGATGTGTTTCATTCCTAGAGCTGAGCAATCATGAGGTGGAGAATTATCTGGCCCAGAAAATTAGGGCTGGCGGTGAGAGGGGTGACAGAGTCTATCAAGAAATACGACAGACAAGAAAATGAGCTTCATGTGGTGACAGGAGTATTCTGTATCCTGATTATGGTGGTGGTCACAGAAATCCAGACGTGCTAAAACTGCACAGAACTACGAACACACGAATAAAGACATGTGAAACCTATGAAATCTAGCAAGCTCTGTGGGTTGGGCCACAGGCAATTTCCTGATTTTGATATTGTACATATCTAACAGTTAGGCAAAATGCTGTCACTAGGGAAAACAGAGTGAAAGATACACAGAACCTTGCTGTGCATTTTTTTGCAACTTCCAGTAAAACCCTAATTACGTCCAAACAAAACATTAAAACAAAAAACACTGAACTTCGAGATTCCTTTTAAACTTAATTCTAGAATCATAACAATGAAAATTAGAAAATAATAAGGATTTAAAGAATATATCCTCTCATCTCTGTCTACTTATCATAAAGTAACAGATAATCTATATAATCAATATAAACCTATCACCTACAAATGCTATGAGGATAATAAAATTTAATTACTAAAAAATCAATTTCCTTTAGCTCTTTCTCCCAGATCTTATTTCATTAATTCACTAAAAACTGAAGACCCTCTACATACAAAGCAATATACTACTGCAACAGGACAATGAAGGCGAACTCCAAATAGCTCAACTTCTCACTCCGGCTTCCCATGTCCCTGCCTCTGCGAAAGCAGGCACGATTACAATAGAATAAATAAAAAAGAAGAGCACTACCTCCCAAAGAGAATTTAACAGGTAAGACAGGTCCAATGTGTTTTTCTAAAGCTGTTTTTCATTTATAGGTTAAGGAAGATCTCAATGACTGCAAACAATTCAGGTAACTGTAACAAAAATCTCATCAGTCTCTAGGCTTATAGTAGCAATGACTTTTTTTTTTTTCTTTTTTTTTAAGAAAAATGACTAATGCCCACACATTACAACAGTAGTCTCTCTGTAATAAGAGATAGCACTTGGGTCTAAGGTTTGTATTAAACACCGAGTTTCAGTCTGGTGGAGGGTCTCTGTTACAGCTCAGATCTCTCATGGATAGTGTAATGGTTTTTGACGGCGACCCTGAAGAGCTGAAGCTGCAGGCCTGGCAGTACCGCACAATGGTTAAACCCGCAGTCTGGAATCATTCAAACCCAGAGTCAAATCCCAAATCTACTATTCACAAAGCTGTGTCACCTTGTGCAGTTTTCTTACCTGTAAACTAGGAATAAAAACAGTAACTGTCTCAAGGATTCTCATGGGGATTAAATAGATAATGCATTTAAAGCATTTAACATTAAACCTTAAACATAGTAAAGATTAGCTATTATTATTAATTTTTATTATTATCATCAGGGTATGTCTTTGCCTTCCAAGATTTTTTACTTCAGGCCAGTCAACTCAACAATCCCACTCTCCAAGGCCCAATCCTGTTCAAGATGACTTAATGCCAGAATCCCACAGGCTGTGTTACATATTTCTCTCTTCCTGGGCCAATAGTAATCCATCCAGTCTTTCCACAAAACTACCATGTTAACATTCCAGATAACAAAGAAGTAAACATAACTCCTCATGTTTTATTTTTCTTTCTGTGTCTGTCTGTCTCTCTCTAATCTCTTATCCAGTTCAAACCCAGTCTTCTGTTTCATATGTTTCGACTCCCTTTTATTATTGCTTAAGGGAAATCAGATTCAGTGCCCCACAGAAGTAAGCCAAGAATCCAGAAAAGTCATAAGCAGCTGAAATCATTCTAGATCCTAAGATGAATTAGGGTAACAGTGGCAGAGGTGTCCAACCTGCAACCTGCGGTGGCATGCGGCTCAGGATGGCTATGAATGCGGCTCAACACAAAATCATAAATTTACTTAAAACATTATGAGATTTTTTTGTGATTATGTATTGCAGTGCATTTAATGTGTGACCCAAGACAACTCTTCTTCTTCCAGTGTGGCCCAGAGATGCCACAAGGTCAGACACCCCTAGGAACATTGACTGCCCCATAGGAACCACTGTAGATTTTCCCATGATGATACTCACCTGTAACTTCGGAGATGAATTCCTGGGACCAGTCAGTCTCATTATAATCCTGAGTTACATCCACAGCATCTCCAGCTGCAAGAAACTCCTGGGCCCAGTTCTCAGACAGAGCCAAATCTGCCACGCCAGGAGCTTAAGAGAGAGAAAAAAGAGAACTAAGAAACAACAAAATACACATTATTCTTTCATGCCTAAAAAACCTTGAATGCACATGAAAACACTCTGTTTGTTTTGTCTCCTGCATCTCAGTTTCCCAGTCCCAGCAGCATCCAAATATGGAACCTCCTTGGCTCTATCTGCACAGAAAATGGTGATCTCCCCTCCCACGAGATTCTGGACCCACCTCTCTGGGGTGCCTGACGGAAGCTTGACTGTTCAATCTCCTGCATCTCTGCCAGCAGGTCATCCATCTTGAAGGTCTGAGGCGCACGGGATACAAGTGGTGCATTCTGGTCCTGGAGGAATTCAGCCACCAGCTGTGAGAAGAAAGATGGTGAGATGAACCCAGGCAGGTCCAATGGACAGGGATCACTAATGCCAAATACAGGGAAAGGAAAACAGAAACTATAGATTTGGAAATACTCAAAGAATACATTTTTAAAAACGAGCAGGCAAATTTCATTTGGTCGGGAAATGAACTATGGATAAGCCACATGTAGAGTAAAAACACAATGGGCAAAAGAAAAATGCAACAAGAGACTGGTATATTTACCTCATCTTCAGATGCTACCCCCAAAGGCTTAGAGACCTAAGAGAGAAGGAAAACAATAGGGTACAGTGGTGAAAACCAGACACACAACTAACTTAAACACGGGTTAAAATTCCAGCTCTGCCATTTATGTGACCTCAGGCAAGTCACAAAACCTGAATCTCCATTTCTTCATCTATAAAATGACTGCCTTCATCAATGTAAAGATGTACAGCACTAAGCATATTGTTTAGCAAGCACTCATTAAATGGTAAGTATTGTATGCAACACAAGAAAGGAGTGATTTTAACCTTTTTCATCTCATGGTACACATGAACTAATTACTAAAATTCTGCAGCACACCAAAAAATATATTTTTGGCCAATCTGACAAAAAAATAGGCATAATTTTGATTCACATCAGACAGCCATTATTGTGCTGGCTGTTGTCATTTTTTATGTGACAATCCAAGGGAAAAAAGGTCAGTGCCCTTGACTAAACAGCCGGGTACCGCACGTTTTAAATATTCTTGCAGCACACCGGCTGAAACTCGCTGCAATAGAGAGAGAGCAGGTAAGTATACATAAGGACCCTCCATCCCCAGACACCACTTGCACTTTCCACCTCAAGAATACTCACCGCCTCTGGGGCTGGGGCTCCTGGTGGCCAGGGACCAGGCCTTAACCCCTCCTGCCGAAGGGCCTTGTCCTGGGTGAAATGCCCGGCCAGCTTCATAAGCGGGTTGGCACCCCCGCATTCTGCCTCCACCAGCTCCCGCATTGCCATGGTGACCGCCAGCTCTCTGATGGGCAGAGGTTCGGGACTGAGGTCGAGTAGTCAAACCCAACACACAATCCAGCTCGCACCTGGGGAGGCTGACAGACGTCTGTCCCCGGTTGGCCACCGGCCACTCCCACCCCAGTGTTTTTTGCTGTGGCCCCCACGTCTGCCAGGAGTCCGAGAGGGGACGGCTGCCCTCCTGCCGTCCCGCCTCAAAAAGCCACTGCTTTCAGCCTGGGCCTCACCGCCGGCCTCTACCTCTGCGGTCTCCGGCGGCGCGATTGGCTGTCAGCCGCCCCCCTAGAGGGGCCTGGACCCCAAGGGACTACGGGGGTACAATTCCACAACCTAGGGGGCACCGGCAGAGCAAGGAAGAGTGGGAACGCCGCCAGACCGTAACGCCAGTCCCCTACATTCGCCGACGTCAGGTGAGCATCGCAGGGCAACCATCCCCTCCCTTAAGTCACCTGAGCCCCTCCCCCAGCTCTGCCAAGCCAGGCCCACGCCTCCGGCGCGCCGAACCACCCCATCTCCCTCGCCCCAGTCGCAGCTCCAGCCCCGCCCCCGCAACCCGCGAGGACTAGGAAAGGGCGAAGAAAGCTCGGGAACGTGTCCTCTGCTTCCCCCGGCCCTGAGCTCACCGTCGCGCGCCGCGCCGCAAGACCCGCCAGGGCACCTGGTGCAGGCTGGAGGAGGAGAGGAATAGAAGGGGCGGGAAATCAGGGGCGGGGCTCAGGCTTAAAGGGGCCGCGACCGCCGCGCTGCAGTCGCTGCCTCGCGGAAGCTGTTTTCAGGGGCGGGGCCTTAAGACTGCGACGCAGCGTGACCGGAGGAGCCAAGTGTCTTAAAGGGGAAGAGCACCTTAAAGGGGAAGTCTTGGACTGCTCTGGTAGCCCTTGCAAGGATCATCGACTCCAGGACTTGTTTGCAGGGAAGCTCTAAGAAGAATGGAGCTAGGAAGGGCTTCCTGAGCTTCGGTGAAGGCCGAGGGCTCGGGATCCTGGGCTCAGTTCATCCTGGCTCTCCCCTAGAAGCTCATTTTGTAACGCTGGAGTTGCGAGGGTCAAATCTGGGGCCTTCCTCAGCCTTCTAGGCCTGCCTTCTTCCAAGTTGCCCTTAGCGGACCTTGTCACAGTCTCCATGGAGACAGAGCCGCCTCTCCCCCCCCCCCCCCCCCCAACCATCTGCAACCTCTGCGAAGAGGGGAAAATAGCACTGGATGATGACAAACTCCGGAGACTAAAATAGGGTCCAATGTATCCAGAGATCTCAAGCTGGTAACCTACAGGGAAGTTGCAGTGAGTCACTCCTCTTCGCTCCCTCCTCCCTCACCACCCGTCAAGGGCACCATGGTGGCCTTATTCCCACTGCTCCAAACGGGGAAAGCACAGACATGATGCAAGAAATGATATTTAATCACGGGTTAAGCCTCAGGCTCCACCATCTGCCACAGGATTGGCTGCGGTGTAAAATTTCAAGGTCACTGAGAAACCCTGAAATCTCACCTGGCTCCAAGACCAGTGAAGTCCTGACATCATGAAGAAAAGCAGGAGATGCTCAGGGCTGCTGGTAGTTGAGCAGGGATGGGTTAGTGCTAAAAGGACAAAAGTCCCAGTCCAGCCCAGGGTGCAGGAGAGGAGACAGGTGGACAGCAGGTGGCGCCCTGGGCCAGGATTGTTACCAGGCTATTCTGCAGATTTCAAAGGTGGAGGCTGGAGGGGACCAGAGGGGCATAACTGTAAACTCATTTCTGGAAAGGTAGAGAAACTGCTCTGATATATCGGGAGAACAGAATGACAGGGCAGCCCTGAAGATTGTGCTGCCCTGTCATTCTTTTGAAAAGATCTCAAAGATCTGAAAAGAAAAGGACAAAGAAAAAGAAAATTTCTTTTTCTTACCTTTTACCTTCTTTCAAAGGTCCTAACTCAATACTCTTTCTCCTGGTACAAAAAATCCCCGCCCGTGCATGTTCGCTGTTCTCAAGCTATTATCGTAAAGCAAATACCTAGTACTAACAGACTAAAAACCATGCCAAGGAGGAAGGGATGCCCCCTGGGAAGTGCATACTTTTAAAAAGAGGATCCCTGGGGAGAGCAATGTTTAACTGAAAGCATGTGATGTGGTAGAATTTCAAAACAAGGCAACCAGAGAGGACTTTCCAATACGACTCAAACCACACGCATAACCTTCTGCTCTGCTGGATTAGTAACTGATTAGCAATAACTCACTATGAGCTGCTCTTGGAGAGGGGGGTGATAATAATGATAATAACTAATGTTTCTTGAACGCTTACTAAAATCCAGGCATTGCAATGAACAACACTTTGTTTGCATTAGTGCTTTTAATCTTCACAATACCCCCATGAAACCGGTATTACTAACCCTACTTTACAGATAAGACATCCAAAATCACACAGCTAGAAAGTCAGAATTTAATCCAGACATAACTCCAAATACCTATTAATTATACACTACTGCCTTCCAGTGTTAGAGAAGGCTTGCTTATAAATCCGTGGAGAACTCTAGTCTCTTAGCCATAGAATTATTCACATAAACCTGGTCCACAAGTCCAAGATGGACTCTGGTACTAGGAAAGAACAATTGAGTTACTCGGGTATTTAATATTTAGTTTATTGAAGTTCTATATTTAAAGTCCTAGATTTTGTTAATCCAGGTTCAACTTTAAATTCTAAGCATAAAAGTAATAATTTTTATTAAATGAAAAAAATAAATTTTACTTCTTTGTGGATTTCAGACCTTCAGGTAAGAAGTTATATAACTGTGCAGCCAAAGCCCATAGTAGAGACTTAGAAGGAACTAGAGGAAAAAGAGTAATAAAGGACATATTGGTTTCAGTGTCTGGTTGTGCCCATAACTATGAAATTAAACTCCATTGAGAGGGTGGATTCACCAATCAAGAGGTTTGATGTGGTGTAACCGTCACATTCCATTGGCTAATGTTCAGTTATTTGGCCATCTTAATAGCAGAGGAGGCAGAAATGTAATTTAGCTTTATACCCATGATGAACTGGACCAAGGTTTGGTAAGATGTTGGTGATCTCTACAACAATCCACCCTACGGGCACCTGTTTCAGGCTATGCCAATGACTTTGAAATTAAACTCCATTGAAAGGATTTTCAGTCAAGAAGTTTGTGTAGCTGTTGCAGTCTTCCAGTCTTCAATCTTTCAACCATCTATTGTTCTATCATGACCTCTACTGCAGTTTTGAGGGACCACCTCGCAGTTGTGTCCTTGACCAGGGTTCCCTTATAGTATCTCCATTCGTCCCTGGGCCATGTCTTCTCCATCTCAGATTTCTTTAGAACTCCTCACTCCTTCTGATCCAACATCTGATACAAGTTCCACAAACACCCCACCACTGAGAATGTTTTCCGTTGTATGGAAAAGACTATTCCCAGTCACCTGGGTTTAAAATTAGTATTTAATTTACTAACTTACAAGTATAAAATCTGGTTTTGCTTATGCTTTAAACTCAACTTACAAATCCTGCAATTTTATCTATAAATGTACTATTTTTAAAAAATTACTTCCACTCATTCCTTTCTTTTTTTTTTTTTTTTACAATGGGCAAAAAATGGTTTATTCAATAGGTGCTGTTGGGAAAATTGGACAGATAAACACAGAAAAATGAAACTAGACCACCTTTTTTTTTTTTTTTTTTACATATAGAGGATTTTTTTTTCACTTCTCCAGCTCTCTTTTATTATTTTTTTAAATACATTTGTCTCTGCCTCCCCCCAACCACTTTCCCTTGCCCCTCCCTCCTTCCCTCCCTCAGCTCTTTCCCTTTGGTTTTGTCCATGAGTCCTTGCTACATGTTCCTTGACTTTCCCCTTCCCTTCCCTTTCCCTGCCTTCCGCCCTCCTTCCCTCTTGTCTCTGTTGATTTCTTTTCCTTTCAGTGTTGCTGGTCATATTATCCTTGCATCTTTGTATTGTTGGTTAGGTTCCGCTTATAGGTGAGATCATATGGTATTTGCCTTTCGCCCACTGGCTTATTTCGCTTAGCATAATGCTCTCCAGTTCCATCCATGCTGTCGCAAAGTTTAGTAGTTCTTTTTCCACTCGTTCTTTGATTGATGTTTAACTCAACTTAAACAGATTTAAATTTTCTTAACAATTAGTCTTATGTACAGGGTTAGTAAAATTTCCATAACTGTTTTAGATCATATTCATATTCTTAATGTATTTTTTTTTCCTCATGCACTTCAATTGCCTGTCAAGGTAAACTTCAAATCCTCATGTGAAAAATTTTTCTTATATTATGAGCAACTCTTGTAAATCTAATTACTTGATTTACCATGTTCAGATGTTTTATTCATCTTAAATGTTCTAATAATGCATATAAGCTTGAGCTGTCTTATACTTTTCAATTAAAAATCATAACTCTAAAATCAAGATATTTCAAGTTGAAAATACAAAGCTTAATTTAACGTAAATTCACACAGATTCTCAAACTTAATATCAAAGTATTATGTTTTACTTCACTGTCTCTGTGCTAAATTCTGTTCCTCCTCAGGAGAGCAGTTTGACCATCTCAGAAAGACTGAGGTTTTTTAGGTCAAAAAAAAAATTACTGCTGTAATGCAGTTAGTGGCCAGGTTGAAGAACAGGACAGGAGAGCTCAGGCCTGTGGGCTAGTGCTGCCGATGTAATTCTCACCAGTGAACACACTGAGCGTGCTCCTGGTGGACTTACCTCTATAGGCTGCAAGCAGGGGCTTTCAGCTGCACCAGCTCACAATTCATATGTGCAGGGTATCTTTCTCATTCCACCTTATCCCTTCTTGGGTAGATGGACTGCTACTGCACCCCGTCCCCTCAATCTCAGCAAAATACCCCATGAGCAGGTCCTACAATGCTTCTGGGTGTTTCTTGTCTTACCTGATTCTCTAGCCCTGTCAATGTCTTCTCTTTTCTAATCCTCTAATTAAGGGTCATCACACCCACATAAATCTCCTTTTTCCTTTCATACCTGCCTGGCCTCTGAGACCTCGTTTTCCTCCTCTATGTGTCTAGCCTGTCTTCAAAGACCGTAAATCTTTCTTCCAGTGAAATCTATCTCTTCCTCCAGCTTAACCAACCTTTTATTTTTTTCTTTCAATTTCCGCCTGTCCTCTTCTAAGAGTAAGACCAAATTCTGTGTTGCTGCTGCTGCTGCTGCTGCTGTTTTAAAGCAGTTCTTCTCTCTTTGAGCAAACATGATTCTTAGAGTCAGAATGTTTCAGACATGGGCCTTTTTTTTCTTTTCTTTCTTTTTTTTTAGTTGTTGTTCAAGTACCATTGTCTCCATTTCCCCGCCCCCACTTTCTCCTGCCCCACACACCCCCACCTCCCACCTTCAATCCTTCCTGCCTTTGGCTTTGTCCATGGGTCCTTTATACATGTTCCTTGATGACCCTTCCCCTTCTCCCCCCCCATTATCCCCCTCCCCAGTCCCCTCTGGCTACTGTCAGTTTGTTCTTTATTTCAGTGTCACTGGTTATATTTTACTTCCTTGTTTGTTTTGTTGATTGTGTTCCACTTGTAGGTGAGATCTTATGATATTTGTCTTTCGCTCCCTGGCTTATTTCGCTTAGCATAATGCTCTCCAGTTCCATCCATGCTGTAGCAAAGGGTAGTAGCTCTTTCTTTCTTTCTGCTGCATAGTATTCCATTGTGTAAATGTACCACAGTTTTTTGATCTACTCATTTACTGTTGGGCACTTAGGTTGCTTCCAACACTTGGCCATTGTCAATTGTGCTGCTAGGAACATTGGGGTGCATAGATTTTGAATTGGTGTTTGAGGAGTCTTAGGGTATAATCCCAGCAATGGAATTGCTGGGTCAAAAGGCAGTTCCATTTTTAGTTTTTTGA